TGTGCGTGTGCGTGCATGCGTGTGTGCGTGGAGTGGTATGAGTGCATGGAATAAATATATATTTCATGCTTATAATGGTGTATGAATGATGGGTCATGATGTCGAGTGTGTGTGTGTCAAGTCAATAGCGAGTTATCGCTAGCCGCATGTTAATGCGGTCATTTTGTGTGTCCCGCGCGGTTTCTATTTTGTTGTGCGCGGTTTCTATTTTGTCGCTTGTCGAACGTTCGGCGTGTCGCAGGTGTGTGCAGCAGACCCATCAAGAACTCAAGGATGAGTTTTGTGATGAAGAACCGGAGCCTTGGTTCAAGCTTCAAGTGTTTTCGAAGCTTGCCAAAAGGGTACACCTCAAGATATTGAAGATAGTTACATTACAATGTGTAGTGTAACATTTCTATGGGTGTAGGCCCTTGTGGAGGGTAGTTTCGAGACCCTTCTTGGTTGGGGACAGTGTGGCACTGTTTCCCATCACTGTACCTCGGCTCTTGGGGTTTGTAGGAGCTGGGAGTCATTCCCAACTCGCAACTCTTCCTAGCTGTTCGTAATTGTGTCTTCTAAGACTATGTTGCTGCCATAGTGCCGTTCGTTCAAACTGATGCTGTGTCGTCAATTCTTGATGAAATCGTGCGATCTAAATTGCCTATTGTAGGCTACATTAAGACGCTCTAGATTCAAGTTGAATGAGTTCGTTTGGAGGTGTGAGCAGATCGCTATGAACGTTTGAAGCCGCTGTGCAGAAATCCGACTGTGCACTCTATCTTTCGTTCTAGGCCTATTGGAGCCTACTTTGACTATAACATTACTGAATGACCGTAAAAGGAAATTTGCAATGCCTAAATAGGGGAAATGCTAGCTAGGCGGAGGGGTCAGGTGAAGATGGCTCGGTGATGGTTGCGATTGGTGCGGAGCTGACTTGGGAGTGGTTCAGTGCGACGAATTAGGCTGAACAGGTTCGACGCATGACCCTCGGGATGTACTCGCTAAAGTGCGAGTACAGTAAGGAATTGCAATTCCTTATAGAACCCACCTTTGTACCCTTAGATATTTCTATAAGATTGGACATTAATATTATTTTCTCGAGTGTGCGATGACTTTATCTTAAGAAAGTTTTCTTTCTTCTCTTTAGAATTAACGAGAAAATTTGTCCGATACAATCAGTGTAATTTCCTACCTGACACCAGTGAAGGTGTTACCTTTCAAAGAAGCTCAGACATTGCACTTACCCTGAGCTATTTTCACCTTGGCTGGAGTGTAAAGCTCGGTCTGTCTATGCAGTCGTACCCAAGTACTTGACCTGTAGTGCAGAAAAACGATCGCCAGTGCCGATTGTGATCGCAGTGGCCCGCGGGCATGTCCCTGCAATGAGACTGTCAGTGCTCCCAACACAAGCCTGCATGTGGTACACACACCATACAGTACTGTAGTATCAAGAAAAAGGTTCAAAAAAATGTAAAGAGAGCCACTATACAAGGCTCACCTCACATCGCTCAAAGCAATGCTGCAAAGCCCCAGGCTCACGTCGAAGCCAGTGAAGCTGCCAACATCCGTTTTGGGCACGAGGCGGCTGCACTTGATGCCGTGGTTAAGGCGTGAGAGAGGCAGGTCGGGCACGTTGCAGATGGACTCGCACGTCTCGGCGCTCTCCAAGAAGTAATACTGCGAGCATAGCGCCACCACCCCCGTAATCTCTGGCCACCGCTCCACACACACCATCTGGCTGGGCCGCGGCTCGCTGCTGCTAGTTGTGCCGCAGCCCACCCACGGGTTGAGAGTTTGGAAGGCTGCCGTGCACTCAGGGGAGGGACAGGTGCTGGCGAGAGAGAAGTAGGTTGTCAGGGCCTCACAAACGTCGCCCTGGGAAGAGAGGCAGAACGGCAGTCGCCAGGGAGTGGGCAGGGAGGGAGCAGTGGGGAGGGCAGAGAGGGGACAACGGGGGGCAGGAAGGGGGCAGGTGGGGGCCAGCCAGGGGGCAGGGGGTGGGCAGGTGGGAAGTGACGCACACACAAAGAGCAGATTAGGACTTGCTGATTTGCTCGGTGGGCCAAGTAGATGGAACAGGTGGCGATGGTGGAGGGTGCAAAGACAACATGCACCAGACTTAGTAGTTGCACCGGACTCTGAAGCAGCTTTTGTTTGCCACCTTGCACCTAGTAGACGGAGCAGCGGGTGATGGTGGTAAGTAGGGCGACATAAGATGGCCTGGAGGTAGGGAAGGGAGGCACGCATGGAAGTGGGATGGAGGGATGAGTGAGAGCAAGGTGATTGGGTGCAGAGGAGGAAAGAATATGAAAGGGAGGGAACAGGGTGCAGAACGAAAGAAGCAGCAGCAACACAAGAGGACGGCATACGTGAACGCAATGCAAGCACATGCACACACCGGGTTCTATAGCACAAGCTGCTCCCAACTATGAAATGGAAAAGCTCAAAGTGAGGGGATTTGGAAAACCTCTTGCAAGCATATGCAAAGGCACCCGGTGTTGTTGATTGAGCTTCTGATGGGAGAGTCCGTGATTGGAAAGATGTCTGAGCATTTGACATTGAGTTAGACAACAGTGTAGGTGTCGTTGGTGCTGCCGGGAGCGCAGGAGAAGGTGCCATCGACGGTGGTGCCCTGCCTGAAGCCCGGTGGACACACACACGAGTACGACCCCGCCCCGTCATTTACACGCGTGCCCACCGCACACGGATTGTGAAATTTGCGCTGCATAGGCATCCACTGCAGGAGGGAGGAGAGCAGGGGAGGGTGTACAAGAGGGGTAGGGAGACGGGAGAAAAGTGGATGTGGGGGTGTGTAGTTTGTGTGCGAGAGGTATGAATGCATGGGACAGCCACAGATGAGATGCAGGGGGCCGCATACCATAGCCACACGTGCAGGAGCCGCTTTTAAGGAAATGTCATACCATAGCCACACGTGCGTGTGCCACTTTTGAGAAAACTCAGTATAAAATAGAGGAGGCATCATACCATAGGCATAGGTGCAGGAGCAGAGCAGTAGGCATCATACTGATGCAATGCAGGATGCATACATGAGATGAGACATATCATAAGCACAGGTGCGCCCATCGGTGTTGATGGCTTCAATGAATCGGCCATCAGATTCGGTTTTGCAGTCACAGTGGTTGGACGTGCCATCAGCACTCACCGTGCATGTGAAGTTGCCACACGGGCTTAGTGCAAGGGCAGGATACAATAGAAAAATAAAGCGATAGTGTGTTGGAGTTGATTGGAATGTTGGAAAGCAATCGGACGGGAGGAGAGGTGAGAAGGAGATGTTGTGGTGAAGTGGATTGGAGGAAGCCAATCATAACAGCATCAGTGGCAACACTCTCATGGTGCTAAGAACTTAGAAGTGACATGCCCTGACGCCGCACACACATGGCAGGTACTCGCACCATGCTCGGGTCGTGCTTGCAACCACACATGCACCATACACTGCACCCACTTCCAAGCTGCAACATGCCATGCCCTACCTGATGAGACGTCCTGGGCTGGAAAATATGCAAGAGAAAGAGAATGTGTAGGGAGGGAAAAGACCGGCTGAGATTAAGTACCATGTATTCAAGCCGTATGATTGCACAGCAACATGGAAGCACACAAGCATGTTCCCCTTGCAATGGTGCCATTGTTCTGCGTGTTCATTGGGTTGACACACACACCACCACATCCCCTGCCCCTCCTTTCTTTGCATCTCCCTACGCTGCTTACCTCCAGCAATTGATGTTGCAATGTCGTAGTATTCATCCGTCCATGCTATGCTGCAATTCACCCTTATATAAACTTCTATATCATACACTGACGATGCTCATGCTATGCCCTCGTGTCGTTCACGCACCCCCTCTCCCTCTTCCCCCCCTTGCTCCTTTCCCCGTTCTTTCCCATTCTTGCCAATCAACAGAGGCAATGTCTGCTCGTCGCTGTGTTGCCCTGCAAGCTATTGTTGGCGCTGCGATTGACCTCCTCGTTCTCTTCACCTGAGAAAACCCAGTGTGGACGCTGCTGGTTGAGTCCCTCCCTATCATGCCCACCATGTGCTGTCTGTCTCTGCTGGCTGTAGAGTACAATTAGGTCCACATTAAATGCAGGGTCCTTTACTTTAGAGGCGCCTCAAAGACAGATATCTACCATATCATGCTCAGCTTGTGCTGTCTGTCTGTTCAAGTTTAGGACCGTGACAAATGTAGGGCCTCCGTATCATATGACTTTGCTACAATTTTCTCCACTGTACTGTATGACTATGCTAGAATCTCCTTCACTGACTTACGGTACTACCGTTTGCTTTGTTTCGCTTATCCTTCGGAAGCCTTTCTTCACTCACGCATTACATGTGCCTTTGGACTGGCCTTAGGTGCACTGATTAAAAAGGTAGCAAAGCGCCTGTTCACTGGGCCCTTCCCCTTTCCTCCTCCCCCCCCTCTCCCGGTTTTGGGAATACAGCCGTGGCCCAAATTCAGAATCTGGCGTCTGCCAGGTTGACCTTGCTGTTGCCAAAACAACTTAGGTCTTAAGTTTCGTTCGTACCGTTGCGGCTTGAAACTCAATTACTCAACCATAAGAACTCTTGTGCTCAACAACACCCCCCTATGACCCACACGCGACCTTCAGACAATTACGGTATCCCGCAACGCCCCCTCTCTTTCCCCATCCCCCCTTTCACTGCCCAGGACTCGACGTGGCTGTGCAGAAGGTTCCGCCGATGTGCGTGCTCTGGAATCTGATGTAACACGGCGACGATGGTATTGGAGCCGGCTAATCAGATATCGGTTCGTTTTGCTAATAGAAAGGTGCAAGGAGGTGGATAAGTTTGCGGTATGAAAAGTACTAATTCAAGGCGCATTAAAGACAAGGTAAGCAATATTTTTAAAACAAGCAGGGTAGATAGAAATGCAGAACCAAGACGCTTGTTTTTGACATGCTTGTTTGCAAAAAGGTAGAAAGGAGCAGCCACCCTTGCTATTCAATATATGCCCTTAAGTCCAGCTCAGCCTCTTTCCTTCTCAACATCAGGGCTCGCATTTGCCCTTGGCTATTTTCACCTTGCTTGGAATGCACACTTTTGTACCCTTTATCAGCCTGTCTATGCAGTCATAACCGTTTATGCGCTTGTAGCAGCCTTTCACACCTCGGAAATACTTGACCTGGATTGCAGTGCAGCGATCACCAGTACCAATTGTAATGGCAGTGGAGCGGGGACATGTCCCCTGGAGAAGACTTTCTGTGCTCCCAACACAAGCCTGCAACGCACGCGAAACACACCGAGCAAAAGGAGACGTAGAGGAGCGTAAGAAAACACCTTGACCTTCACCTTTACCTCCAACTTCACCCAAATCAAGGTGGAAAACGAATCAATCAAGCATGTCCTTGCTGCGAGGCTGTCCGTGCCCTCAACACAAGCCTGCAGAATGTGCTACACCAGCCGGAGCCGGAGGTGATTTCTGAGTCCACTATGAAATCACCTCCGTAAAAGTAGCAACAAGTATGGAAAAAGTCCACATGTTTGTAAAAGAAACAAAAACAGGTAGCTCCTGCAACGCTCACGTCACCTTCTCCTCGCTCGAAGCAATGCTGAGAAGCACCAACCCCCCCAACCCAGGCTGACCTCGAAGCCCGTGAAGCTGCCAACATCCGTCTTGGGCACGAGGCGGCTGCACTTGATGCCGGGGTTGAGGCGGTAGAAGTCGACGCGTGAGAGAGGCGGGTCGGGCACGTTGCGGATGGACTCGCACGTCTCGGCGCTCTCCACATAGTAATACTGCGAGCACAGCGCCACCACCCCCGCCATCTCCGCCCGCCGCTCCACACACACCGCCTGGCTCGAAGGAAGCTGCCCGCTGTTGGCGGTGCAGTCCACCCCCGGGTTGAGTGCCTGGAAGGCTGCCGTGCACTCGGCGGACGGACAGGTGCTGGCGAGAGAGAAGTAGGTCGCCAGGGCCTCACACGTGTCGCCCTGGGGAGAGAGGGAAGAGGGCAGGGGGCAGGGAGTGGGCAGGGAGGGAGGAGGGTGGAGGGCAGGGAAGGGACAGGGAGGGGACAGGGGGGGAACAGGGGGGGGACAGGGAGGGGCAGGCAGGTGGCAGGGGGTGGGCAGGGGGAGAGTGACGCACAAAGAGCAGATAGGACTTTGCTTGACCTGCTCGGTGGGCCAAGTAGATGGAGCAGGGGGCGATGGCGGAGGGTGTAGGGACAAGACAACATGCAACACACTCAGTGGTTGCACCACCCTTTCTGTGAGGTGCATAAAGTACCATCCACCACCCACCTATCACCTAGCACCTCCCACAGGCCATTCTCCCACTGACTACCCCGTACCACCCATGTACTACCTACCCGCCACCTGCCAGCCACGTACCTGCTCAGTGGTGTAGTAGACGGAGCAGGGGGTGATGGTGGTGGGTGGGGAGACTCGGAGCACGGAGTTGACTGGCAAAGAAGAGTCACAGGAGATGGCCTGGTGGCAGGGCGGGATGTAGGGATGAGACCGAGGTGATAGGGTGGAGTGGTGTGGAGCAGGGTGGGGTGGGGTGGTGTGAGATGGGACAAGGAGGAGTGGGGAGTGGTGCGGAGGAGAATTTTTTCTCTAATGTGGTGACCTTGGTTAGCACCACTGCAATCGTTGTGTATGTACGGTACTGCCATTATTTGTGGGACCTGGTTTTATACTCGCATCCTTTGCATCATGATAGCGTCGAATGCATGGCAGGCAGCAAGTTCAGAGATGAAAAAACAACTCACCATCACCATCACCATCACCATCATTATCACCATACCAATGACGACGGGGTAGATCCCTGCCGAGTGTTGATGCCACACACGACATCTCAACTCAACTCTCTGGCAGCAACATGCATCACCATCACCATACCTCTGACAATTGGGTAGATCCCCGGCAGTGTGTTGATGCCGCACACGCCATCCCCCCCCTGGATGTCCATGCGCATGTGGCCCCCATCACCCCAGTCAGGCCCCCATGAGTTGCGGATGATCCAGAAGGGCGGCGCCATGTGGGGGAAGCGCGAGTCCTTGCCCACCAGGCGGTACCCCACCAGCAGCACCACGTGGTTCAGGTTGTACGTGAAGCACGCTGGGTCCTGGTACTTGTGTAGCTGCACACGAATGCAAGGAATGCAAGGAATGCAAGGGATGCCAGGAATGCATGTTGTGAGTGAGTTTGGAATGGAGAAACGCGATGTGAGACATGCATTTCTCACATTCCAGCGGCACGGATATTCGAGAGACATGCATGCGCTGGTAGCGCAGTGCAGACATGTGCGCTGCGCGGGCAATTGGGCCACAATCATGCAAGCAGGCAGGCGAGGTTATGGTAAGCCCGTGGAATCACTCCGGCACCCACCCACCCAATCACAGTTGGCACATGTTGACAACATGCCCAACATGCATGCACCAGTGGACGCACCAACATGCACCTCCACTCCACTCCACACACCCACATGCCATCCCACCAACCCACCCACCCACCCACCCTCCCACGCACATGCCAGAAGTGGGTAGACGACCATACAAGTGTGGATATATTAGAATTCTCAACAATCACTCACGGGACCATACGGGTGTGGACCCCATCGGTGCTGCGAAGGATGGAGGTGAGGGAGAGAGAGCGAGGGTGAGAGATGCGGCGGCTCACCCCGTCGTAGTTGAGAAAGGAGTCGGCAGACGCCTCTATGTGCACCACCACCGGCTGCCTTCCACTGCACTGGAGTCACCTTTACGAATTCTCATAGACAGAGGGACACGGCGACTCACTCACCCCGTCGTAGTTGAGAAAGGAGTCGGCAGACGCCTCTATGTGCACCACCACCGGCTGCCGCTGCACCGCCAGCACGAGCCCAAACCAGCTGTAGAAGGCCGCCCGCTCAAAGCCCGTTATGCTGTAGCCCTGCCGCACCTGCATGCGCCATGGATTCATGCCAGGCCGGATTTGAAGCAAGGTGAGAATCGAATCGAGAAGGATGCAACATGCCCTAGTCTGCCTGATGCTTGTGTCCTCAGCATTGGAATCCGGAGGTGAGGGATGGGATCACCGTCCCACTCCGTCATCCCACTTCCCAACATGCCAGTGCCAGCTTTCTCTTTGACCGTGCACTCCACTCGCAAAATCTACTCCCAACTAAGGAGATTTAAAGCACTGCACTGCACGCCACTCACAATTTCAGCCCTAGCATTCTCCTTGGAAGTGCACTTCATTCCCAAGAGCGCCGCTATCGGCTTCAGCAGCGGCGAGCACAGTACATTCCCACCCGCCGCCGTCGCCGCCACCGGTGGTGACCCCTGCTGCCCCTGCAACACCACCGCACCACTTCCCTATGCCACAGCCACACCCGTCGCACCCTTCCCTCCAGCCCTCCCCCTTGCTCCGCTTGCCCCTCCCCCCACCCGATGCAGCTGCAGCCCCCCCCCTTGCTTGCTAACCGCAAGCAAGTACTGGAAGGCCTTGGAGGGGGAACCTCCGGAGCAATCCGCCTTCATGTCGGCAAGGAGCGAGTCAACAGAGAAGACGGGCAGAGAGCCGTTGGCTGAGAGGATGGCGTAGGCGGCCTCTATGCTGGCAACGACAGCGTATGCCCAGCAGTCGCCACACCCCGCCTGGCTGCGCACCGGCCAGTGAGGAAGCCGGTCTGCGCGCACCCATGTCATGTCCGTAGCCACTGCCCACTGCTGCTCCTCTTCTGTGCTCGCCCCTGCTGCTGCTGCTCCTCCTCCTCCTCCTCCTCCTCCTGCTCTTGCGCCTGCGGGTTGTTGCAGCGCGCCGGCACTGGCATAACGGAAGTAGCGGTTGACTCCTGAGGTGGTGAACGTGGCCTCTGCTAGCTTGAAGCCCAGCGGCAGTGCTGTGGTGGCGGAAGCAGGGCGGGGTGAACTTTGTTAAGGGAGCGATAGAGATGGGAGAGTGGTGGGAGAGAGATGGGCGAGAGATAGGAGGGAGATGGGAGAGAGATGGGAGGGAGATGGGAGAGAGATGGGAGAGGAATGGATAGAAACAAGTGCAGCAAGGAGACGAGGGCATTAGAGAGGTGAAGTGAAGTGTAGTAGGTGATGCTGTGTTGGAGTGCATTGGAGGAAGCCAATCATAACAGCACCAGCGGCAATAATCTCATGCTGGTTACAACTTAGAAATGGCATGGCCTGGAAGCTACTCGCACCATGCACCATGCACCCTGCACCATGCACCATGCAGTGCACATACTTCCAAACTGCAACATGCCGTGAGCTACCCCTACCTGATGAAACGTCCTGGGTTGGAAAATCTGCAAGAGAAGAGAACGCGTAGAGTAGAGAGGGAAGCGGCAAGACCAACTAAGCTCACGTGGCACTGAGCTAGAAAAGCCTGAGCAACGTTTGCAAGCGGGGAGGAGGAGCAAGCAATGCGGGAGCAGCAGAGATTTGGCAACAAGAAAAACAGCTGCCAGTTGGGCAGCAAAGCGAGTGCACGCTCCTGGCAGGCATCATACATCTACTTTTGAGGCGCCTCAAAAGTAGTATCCACATGCACGTCCCGATTTAAGCCCACAAATGAAGTACCTGTATCCAGCGACCACTCCAGCACCGTGTGCTTCTGAGGGGGGTCAGACGAGGCAGCAGTGAAGCCAACCACAAACGTGGCGTCCTCGAATGTGGGCTTCAGCACGCCACACAGCGACACACTGCGCTTGAGATTAGGCTTGGCGGGGCGAGAGGCCGCACTGGCCACAAACACCGACAGCAGCCCGCCTTTCCCCGGAGAGTAGTCGATCCATGCGTACATGGTGCTGCCTGTGTTGAGCCCAGGCACGGCCGCAGTGGAGATAGACACCACAGAGCCACCGACGTTGATACCCACGTGGCTGCTGTCCGGGTCGTTGCTGCTCGCATCTTTGAACGAGTCAAACTCCACTGCCACACTGCGCTCGCTCATGCCGGAGTAACCCAGTGTGCTGCCGTCGCCTCCGGGAACGGTATCCGCTGCTGCGATCACAAACGCGAGGCCTCCCTTGCCGATGCCGTTGCTGGCAGCGGCGGGGGCGAGGGAGAAGGAGAAGGAGAGCTTGAGGGCGATCTCGCGGCCGCACGAGTGGTTCTTGACAGTGTAGGAGAAGAGGCGCACACGCGACACCAGGAACGCCGCTCCCCACTCCGCCTGGCTGTTGCTCGTCAGCACCACGCTGTTATCCGGCTGCACCGCTTCTGCTCCGTGCACCGCCATCGCCGCACCGCCCCCATCGTCGTGAGAAACACTTAACGAGGTCAGCAGGGAAAAGTTCACAGGAGTCCCGCCGCCAGCAGCAGGAACGGCCACACACGTCCCTGGAAGCTCCCCGTTGGTATACCCAGTGTCGCAAGCACACGTGGGGATCCTGTTGGGTCCATAATAGAAGCAGGTGCCATGCCCATTGCACACCGGCGTGGTAGCAGAGAGGCCGCAGAAGGAAGCACAGACCTCCTTCACTCGCTGCGGGTCCATGGGACAGGGCGGCATGTCGGTGGCGCCAAGGCAGTTGGCTTGCACGGATATGATGGTGTTGGTGCAGTCGGGCGGAGTGGAGAAGCCGCAGGAGAAGAAGTTGCTGTCTAGCTGGTACTGCTTGATGGATGGTGGGATGGGCTGCAGCAGACAGCCGCTCAGCTGGTTGTTGCGCAGGCTCCTGCCTCGGTGGGGGTTGGAAGAGAGGGGGGTGAGCAGGATGGAAGAGGGTGAGGGAAGGGAAGAGGGAGGGCAACAAGAAAAGAAAGAGATTTTGAGGAAGTGACAAGGGAGAATTTGATGTTTGGTCTAGGGCCATGGAGAGCGTATGGATTTGCAATAGACTGAGCTGGACGTTGCACTTAGCTGTTTGGGAGTTGTAAACTTACGGCCTTCCACAGAGTGTAGGTAATGTAAGGGTTCAAACGGGTGCCTCGAGATTCAACGCGGTGAAGTGCAAAAAAAGTACTGTTGCCGTCACTGTACTGTGATGCACAAACTGTATGGTGAGTGTAGTACACTCCATTTATGACCATAGAAAACAATGCAGCAAAACTTGTCTACCATTGGAAGGAGGCAAGTAACCGTTGACATTCACATACTGGTTGTTGGGTTCTGGTGCATGACATCTACATGAATTCATGGGTCTACGTATTCTGATCTTGGCATTTTTCAGTCGAATCAAAGGTGAACTGCTGGTACTACCAACTCATAACACTCACATACATGTGTACTGCTGGTGGTAGGCATTATTGACACTCACAGGAATGGGAGTACCAGTGCCTTGGTACAGTGCACTGACACTCACAGGACTGTGAGTTGAGTGAGACCAGCCAAGGCCTGTGGCACACTCCCGCTCAGGCGATTGTTGCTCACGTCACTGCCACGGCCCACAGGCGCAGAGGGTCCGAAACAGAAGCACAAGAAGATAGAATGCACAGCAGCGTATTTGACAAAATAATTAATAATAAATACGAGTTAGTTAATCAGCTGCGCAACCAACTTACAGGGCGACGAAGGGAATAGGAATGAGAGATGGCGAGTGAGCAAAAAGCATTGGTGAGTATTAACAGATGAGGCTGCGGAAAGAGAGACGAGCAGAGAGCCGCACCGCTTTCTGGGGAGGAGAAGCACACAGCACGTACAGTACACTGAGTTTCGTGAGCTTGGATATCTCTTGGGGGATTGTTTCATCGAGCAGATTGGAGCTGAGGTCACTGCCACGGGGAGAACATAACGGCGTTTTGTACAGCAGAGAAACGTGAGACGAGGAGTTTTCTTGGAAAGGTGTGCACGCACGCATGCAAGTTGGGGACGAAGGAGACCATGCTCAGCTCAACATTTCACACAGAGAGAGATAAGCACAACCTTTCGAACAAAAGAGGCACACATAACCAACACCACTGAGTTGAGGCCAAATGCAGGTGAGTAAAGGTGTCAGTTGATACCAACCAAGCACAGGAGCAAGCAGTAGTACAAAGCAGAGAGAGTCACAGGATTCTGAGCTCTGATGTTGAGGCGCCTGAAAAACATACTGCTACTGCTACAACATATGGCTGGCACCGACACAACACTCACCGGACTCTGAGTTCTATACTTGAGGCGCCGCTTCAGGACAAAGCACAAACACTCACAGAACTCTGAGTTCCCCTAGATTGGACAAGCCCTGTGGCACGCTCCCAGTGAGGCCATTGTTCCTCATGTCACTGCCACGAGCGCACAAGGTCCGCAATGCAGGAACACAGAAACACAGAAACGAGGTGCTTGGATTCCTGAGGCGCCTCAAAAATCACGGACGCATAAGATCAGCAATGCAGAAACGCAGAAACAGGGAGCTTGGAGCATACGGCGAGGAGGGTAGTTCCGGATTTATAATGCATGTGATTCGGCTGATTAAGCTTGGGCAGCGAAGGCGCAGAGAGGTTGAGCAGGGGGAGGAGGGAAGGGCGCTTACAGCACGGTGAGTTGCGTGAGCTTGGATATCTCTTCGGGGATGGTTTCACCAAGCAAGTTGGAGCTAAGGTCACTGGTTTGGGAAGTACAGATGGCATGTGGTGATTGGCAGGCAAGCTTGGGGTTGAGTGATGTTTGCAGTTCCCAAGAAAATCTTTGAGGCGTTTTAAAATTGCACGCTTGGGGATGATGGGATGATGGGAAGATGGGACGATGGGACGATGAGGCGATGGGACAATGGATGATGGGACGATAGTAGGGATGAGCAAGGGACGAACACGAACGTGTTCGCGTTTGCCCCTGCACGAACACCGCCGTTTAACGAACCAAACTTTTGGAGAAAAAGGTGTTCGGTGTTCACCTGTGAAGGTATGTTCGGGCGAACCTCGAACACGTTCAGGCGAACAATTTAAGCTGGAAAACTAGACCTGTTCGGTTCGCCTCAAAATTCGTTTTTATGCTCATCCCTAGCTGTTAGGTTGATAGGATGGTTGTTGTATTGTACGCAGGCCCCATCCCAAGCCAAATGAGAGAGCACAGAAGCGATGAAGGTACTTGGCATCTCTTTCAATGCACTGTAATTCGCACACACTCACATGAATGCGATGCAGGGACAAGAACCGACGAGTTGGTTGGATTACATTAAAAGGGGGTATCCGGTACATAGCAGTGAGAGCAAGGGGGGGTGGTTAGAATGGAAGGGGCCTACGCAGGTGCAAACCCTAGTCATTCACTCAAACTAGGTTTGGGTGCCTGATTCTACCTGAAAGTTATTGGATAAATGCAGGACACGATAGGAAAAGGATTCTGATACATACAGCAATTGAAGCTGCGTTAGCTTGGATATGTCATCGGGGATTGATCCATCGAAGTAGTTGGAGTTAAGGTTACTGTGTTGGGGGCAGTTGGGGAGCAGTTGCATCAGCATTCATGCATTCAACTCCAAGGTAGTGGATGCAATCCCATGAGGCAGGCACAGGTCTTGAGACACAAGAGGCACAGGAGGCACACTCACTCACAGTACTTACAGCAAAGTGAGTTGCTTCAGCTCTAGAATTCCTTTGGGGAATGTTCCAGTGAGGGAGTTGAAACTCAGATTCCTACCATGGGAAGGAATACAGAAGCCATGCAATGGGATGGTGAACACGGGAGAGGGGACAAGGGGTTGTAAAGGGGTGCGTGCTTGCAAGTAGGTTCGTGGAAACAAACCTTAGTTGGTATTGTACGTTTACGTTTACGTGACTTTACGTAGTAAACTTACGTTTACTTACGTGGGCCCAAAATGGCTTTACGTTTACGGTCAGCCAGAAACATTTCTGGCTGCCCAGAAAGATAAGAAATCATTGGACTAAGTGGCTGCATGGGAAGCGCCTAATCTGTCACTAGCTTGGTTCTTCTACGCCCAAGCATGTTAGCCTATTAGTACATCAACTTACAGCTTCCCTAAATCTACACGGACATGTCGCAGCCTCTCCCACCTCATACCAGTCAGATTTTCTCGTTTCGCGGGCAAAAAAATATTTTTTGCCCTGCCCGTGTGACTTTACGTAAAATTACGCGTAAGAAAACGTAAAGGTAAACTCAAGCGTAAGTTTACGTTTACGTGACCCAAAAAAACGTAAAGTACCAACTAAGAAACAAACAGACGAGGCCTGAAGCGCAGTACCGCACTTCAGCACAGCACAGCACAGCACAGCACAGCACAGCACAGCACAGCACAGCACAGCACAGCACAGCACAGCACAGGACAGCACAGCACAGCACAGCACGTGGTTGGACGAGGGGGGCAACAGTGCTGTGAGCTTGGAGATATCGGTGGGGATTGTTCCATCAAGGTAGTTGCGGCTAAGGTCACTGCTTTGGGGAGGGCAATACAGACAGACAAATGGCACGCATTGATTGGTGGACAAGGTTTCGCGAGGATGTTGGGGCAAAGAGATATGAAGGAGGCAAGAGCATTTTTGAGTTTGATGGGGCTCGAATTAAGCACAACAGATGCTGTAAAAGGGCAACTTTTGCAGCATGGTCCTAGAGACACTTTGAAGAGGGAAGGGCACCATTGAGTTTGGTGGTGGCAGGATGCACACGCAATGGAACTAGCATCGGCATGCAATTCTGTACGTGTGTGTGCTACTGATCGATTGGTCAGTCAATCGGTCCCAACCGGTACTAATTGGTACTAAACAGTGGCAAGCGCACATGTATGTGAGGAATTCGAGCACGTTGGTGCTGCTGATTTGGGGCTGTTGCATACTGTTCGCTCCAACTGATCTGAGGTTGAAAGAGGGGAGGAGACGCACAGGGTGTTGAAAGATGGTAAATTATGTACTAAGAAGAGGCATATGGGAAGCACAACAGCTACCACTGTGAAGAGAATCTTTGTGGATTTTCAAAACTTCCAGTTAATAAGAAGCAAATAGAGGGGGCACAATAGCTACCACTATGGTATGGAATAATGCGAAAAGAGAGAGGAAATGGACTCTGGACCTGCGCGGAAGGCTGATGTGCATTGACATGGTGCGGTGATGACATGATGGCATAGTGACTTGGATGGCACGGGATGGGAGATGATAATGTGTTCTGTCATCATGGCATGCTAGCATGATTGTTGTGTTGGTAAGACGGGTGTGTTGGCATGATGGGTGTGTTGGTGCGATGGGTGTATTGGTGCGATGGGTGTGTTGGCATGTGTTGGCATGTGTTGGCATGCTAGGTGTGTTGGCATGTAGAGGCATGGAAGTGGAACGTACTGCCCCTGGCTGACGTAGAAGAATTTGGGGGGGATCCTGCCTCTGAATAGGTTGCCACTTAACGAACTGACCTCAATGATCATCCGCCCCTCACTCACTCCCCACCGCACGTGCAAGTTGTGCACGCACTCACGCACATGCACACACACGCATACGCACACGCGCGCGCACGCGCGGGCGCACACACACACACACACAAACACATGTACATGCACACAAATACATAAACACAGGGACCAAAACAAACAGATGTGAGCGAAGCGAGCACACACCCGAACCCAAGCTATACGCAAGTAAACTCACTCCACCTGAGAAAGAACACAGTACAACAGACAAGCAGAGCAGATTGACTGTACACCAATTAAGCTGTACCCCATGCCTTTGGTGCTAATCCACCCGTTTGTCGTGGAAACACAAAAAAGGTTGTGATTGGTGCCTAATTCACCATGAACCTATCATCTTAGTTGATCCTTTCAACCACTTCTTGGTTGAAAAAAAAAAAGAGGGAAAAAAGACTTCTCACTCAATTAGCACACTGTCCCCAACCACCTCCTTCCTTCCCATCCATCCCTCTCTTCCATCCTATGTACTGCCTGTGCATTTCCTAAACGAAGATATTTTTTGTCTATAAACCGACAGTACATTACAAACTGACATTCTTGCAATCGAACTCCTGAAAACAACAGGCAAAGGTCCCCCCAGCCTGTTTTCATCCAGGTTCCTGCACAGCGCACACAGTGCAAAAAATTGCACAGGAGAAGATAGAAAGAATGAAAGAGAGAGGAGATGGACAACTAGCAGCTGTATGGGAAATGGGTAAGAACTAAATGGGG